GGTTCTCTACTATAAATAGAAAGAAATTTAATTGGCCAACTGATATAAGTATAAAAAATTAGCCGGCATGGGTGGCGCGATGCCTGTAGTCCCAGCTACTCGGGAGGCTGAGCAGAAGGATCGCTCGAGCCCAGGAGTCTGAGGTTGCCTGTGAGCTTAGGCTGACGCCATGGCCTCACTCTAGCCTGGACAACAAAGCGAGTCTCTGTCTAACAAAAAAAAAAAAAAAAAAGGTAACCTGTAGTCATGTGATTCAGTGCGCAGCTATGGGCAAGGGGGGGGGGGGGGGGGACAGCTTCAGGTGATCAAGAGGGAAGAGTTTGGATAGGAGGTTGAGCTTTGTGGGGGGAGTGAGGAGGGACTTAGTTAAGTCTCCTTTCAAAGAAGTTTGGGCCCCAAGAATCCTGTGTGTTCTCAGCAAGTCCCTGCCCATTTCTGGGACTCAGCCTCCCCATCTGTGAAATGGGTCCAGATATCCCCAAGGTCTCTTCCCGCACTTCTACCTCTCTTAGGGAAAGGTGGCAGTTCAACCCTCTCCAAAACAAGTGTCAGGATAACTCCTCCTTGGCAGCCGCAGTGCACACGGGAGGGCCCAGCTGACAAAAAGAAGGGGAGCGTGCACACAGGAGGGGAGCAGTGCACAGCAGGAGGGCCCAGCGCACAAAAGAGGGGAGCAGTGCACACAGGAGGGAGCACTGCCACGAGCAGGCAAAAGGGGAGCAGTGCACACAGGAGGGAGCCAGTGCACACGAGGGAGGTGCACCCAGCGAGCCACACACAGAGGGGAGCAGTGCACACAGGAGGGGAGCAGTGCACACAGGAGGGGAGCAGTGCACACAGGAGGGCCCAGCGCACAAAAGAGGGGAGCAGTTGTCACACAGGAGGGGAGCGAGTGCACAGGACAGTCACACAGGAGGGCCCAGGTACATCAGCGAGGGCCAGGCACACAGGAGGGGGAGCAGTGCGCACAGGAGGGAGCAGATCACACAGGAGGGCCCAGTGCACACAGGAGGGCCCAGTGCACACAGGAGAGCAGTGCACACAGGAGGGCCCAGTGCACACAGGAGGGCCCAGTGCACACAGGAAGGGAGCAGTGCACACAGGAGGGCCCAGTGCACACAGGAGGGGAGCAGTGCACACAGGAGGGGAGCAGTGCACACAGGGAGGGGAGCAGTGCACACAGGAGGGGAGCAGTGCACACAGGAGGGAGCAGTGCACCACAGGAGGCCAGTACACCAGGGGAGGGCAGTCGCAACAGGAGGGCGAGCAAGTGCACACAGGAGGGCCAGTGCACACAGGAGGGGCCCAGTGCACACAGGAGGCCCAGTGCACCACAGGAGGGTTTTTTTTTGAGCCAGTGCACACAGGAGGGCCCAAGTGCACAGGGGAGGGGCAGTCACACAAGGAGGGAGCAGTGCACACAGGAGGGCCAGTGCACACAGGAGGGGAGCAGTGCACACAGGAGGGCCCAGTGCACACAGGAGGGGAGCAGTGCACACAGAGGAGGCAGTGCACACAGAGAGGCCACGTACCACAGGAGGCCCAGGGTGCACACAGAAGGGAGCAGTTGCAAAGGAGGTTCAATACACACAGGAGGGCCCAGTGACACAGGAGGGACAGTGCACACAGGAGGGAGCAATGCACCAGGAGGGGAGCAGTCACAGGAGGGCCCCAGTGCACACATGAGGGAGCAGTGCACACAGGAGGGAGCCAGTGCCACCAACAGACCGGGCCAGGCACACCAGGACGGGAGCAGTGCACACAGGAGGGCCCAGTGGCAACTGGGAGGTCCAGTGCACAGCAGCAGGGCCAGTGCACACAGGAGGGCCCAATACACACAGCAGGACCCAGTGCACAAGGACCAATACAACGGAGGCCCAATTACACACAGGAGGGCCCAGTGCACACAGGAGGGCCCAATACACACGAGGGCCAGTACACACGGAACCAGTCACACAGGAGGGCCCAGTGCACACAGGAGGGCCCAATACACACGGGAGGGCCCAGTACACACAGGAGGGCCCAATGCACACGGGAGGGCCCAGTGCGCACGGGAGGGGAGCAGTGCACACGGGAGGGCCCAGTGCACACGGGAGGGCCCAGTGCACACGGGAGGGCCCAGTGCACACGGGAGGGCCCAGTGCACACAGAAGGGCCCAGTGCACACGGGAGGGGCAGTGTACACAGAAGGGCCCAGTGCACACGGGAAGGGAGCAGTGTACACCGGAGTGTCCAGTGCACACAGGAGGGGAACAGTGCACACCAGAGGGACCAGTGCACAGGGGATGGGGCAGTGCACACGGGAGTGGGGGTAGTGTACACGGGATGGGGGCAATGCGCAGGGTGGGGAGCAGTGCGCAGGGGTGGGGCAGCCTCGCGCAGGGGGTGGACAGTGCGCAGGGGTGGGGCAGTGCGCAGAGGTGGGGCAGTTGCGCAGGGGTGGGCAGTGCGCAGGGGTGCGTGCGCAGGGGGTGGGGCCAGCGCAAAGGGTGGGGGGCAGTTGCGCAGGGGGATCTTAGAGACGGGGTCTCGCTCTTGCTCAGGCTGGTTTTGAACTCCTGACCTTGAGCAATCCGCCCGCCTCGGCCTCCCGAGAGCTAGGATTACAGGCATGAGCCACCTCGCCCGGCCTGACTACAGGTTACTTTTAACATTCTGTTAATTATGGTGTAAATTTGCTATTCACACCCATTTGACCACCAAGCAAATCGAGATACAGGACCTTAGGGCCCTCTTCCCACCAGGGCCCCACCCTTTGGGGCAACCACTGTCCCTGACTTGTAGCATATTGACTAACTGGGTTTTTCTGGAAAGTCGTATAAATGCTATCATGCAGTATGTGCTTTTTGGTGTCATTTCTTTTGCTCCATGCTGTCTATTGCTTGTATCTTTTTCATCACTAATTTATTCCATTGTGTGCATGTATCATAATTTATTTGTCCATTCACCTGTTGGTGGGCATTTGGGCTGTCTTTGGTTTGGGACTACCAGGAACAAGTCTGCTTGCAGGCATTCCTGGATGTGCCTCTCAGCATCTGCGCTGTGGCACTCCTCCTGGGTAGCTGCCAGGGGTGGACTGCTGCATCGTGCAGTCTGCGTGTATTTAGTTTTGTGAGAAACTGCCCAGACCTTTTCCCAAAGTGGTGCCGTCTCACACTCCTGCCTATAATTTTGAGAGTGTGGTTCACTGTTCAGGCCTTTTCAGTTCAGCCACTCTGATGAACGCCAAGTGACGTCTCGCGGTGGCTTTGATTGGCGTTGGCCTGATGACCGGTGACACTGAGCCTCTTTTTATAGCTCCTTGGCCACTTGGACATTCATTTTTGGGGACACTCCTGCCTGTTTTTGTGCCCATTAATTTTTTGCTTCGTATTAGAATTCTTTTTGTTTGGTTATGAGTCCTTTGTCAGATATATTTACTGTGAATATCCTCGCCTACCAGATTATTATTCTTTTTAACAAGTATGTCTTGTATCAAGGAGTTGTGAACAAAACAAGGCTGGCGAGTGAGTCATCACATACAAGGAGACAGAAAGGGATTCTGGGGTCAAAGAGAGCCTAGATCTCCGTTGAGTCACGGCTGGCTGTAACCCTGAGCAAGCAAGACGTGACTCTGTGTGTGTCTCAGGTGACTCCTCTGTCTCCAAAGCACAGAGGCCAGCACATGTTCCTGGAAATTTCATGAACAGGCCATGCCATTTCCCACCTCTGGGCCTCTGCACACACTATTGCTGAAACATCACTTCCTCTGGGAAGCCCTCATGTCTGCAGTCACACTTATTTATTTAGTGTCTGTCCCCCAGCCAGCCTGGGTCCAGGGGAGCTTCCTCTCTGATAAGTCCCTGGCAGCACCCAGCACACGCCAGGCCCAGATGAGAGCCAGGATCATCCTTTCTTTCTCCCTTGCTTGTGTGTGTGTGTTTTGTTTTTTGAGACAGGCTCTTGCTCTGTCACCCAGACTGGAGTGTAGTGGTGCAATCATAGCTCACTGCAACCTTG